GTAGTTTCGAACTGCCGACCTTGAGGTTAGCAGCCAGATTTGTAACCACCATGCTATTGTTGTTGTTAAGTGCCATGGAGTCGGTTCTGACTCATAGCGACCCTGTACAGGGTTTCTGAGGCTGTAAACCTTTACGGGAGCAGAACGCCTCATCTTTCTCCTGTGGAGCAGCTGGTAGTTTCGAACTGCTGACCTTGTGGTTCACAGCCTGATTTGTAACCACTAGGCTACCAGAGCTCTTTAACTCTGTAGGATAATACTACGCTATAGGATCTACTAAATATATAACTATTTATATTTCTATTTTTGTAAGACTTTCTAACCAAAAGCCTAGCCATTCTTATTTGTAAAAATATACTTTATCACATTGTGTTATAATTCACAGCTTAGAAAATAATAGTTATTGTATCTGCTATATCAGTTATTATAGCTACTATATCAGTTCACTGTAAAATTGAATCTCATCTATTTTACTCCTGGTGTTCTAGTGTGGTGCTGCAGGATAATGTGCTGGGCCACAAGGTCGGCAGTTCAAACCCACCAGCCACTCCTCGGAAACCACCAGGTCATTAAAAGACAGAACTGACTTGATGGCACATAATTCACTGAATCAGTTCTGTTTAATCTGAATTTTCATGTCATAAGTTTGAGTTTCTTACCTGACATGTTTTGATCTTGTAATAATAAAGTCTGTAAGTTCATCTTTCAGTAAGACTTTTTTGTTGACTATGTGAGTATAAATAATGCGTGTTCAAAGTACATTATAGAGGATATAATTATTTTCTCTTTTAGAATTACAGAGGATCATGTGATTCAGCATGGGCTGGTTGTGGATGGAACTAGTCTGTCTCTTGCACTCAGGGAGCATGAAAAACTATTTATGGAAGTTTGCAGAAATTGTTCAGCTGTATTGTGCTGTCGCATGGCACCATTGCAGAAAGCAAAAGTATGTATGAGTTGTAATAAGTTCCAGAAAGGTATTTAGATTTAATGGGATTCTCTAAAGATAACACCTTACCTACTTCTGTTAGGTGACGTACAGTGTGTGTATCTAGCACATTAAGAATTTGAACCACGTATTTTCAGAGTGAATATTAAGGTTTCAACTATTCATAATGACCTAGAAAGTCTGTGATAGGTAGCAGTTTGTGATTTTACTGAGACAAATTTGAATTGGGGCACTGGGACTTCATTCATTTGCACCTTCAAGTGACTGTCGATCTCTGCTTATTCCTTTAGTCTCATGAATTGATAGTGTATCTCCTTATTAAAATGGCTATCAAGTCATAAATAGAACTTTAGTAAATTGTTGGGAAGTCCGTTAACTTGTGTTATAAGGCTATGAGCAGAAAACACCTAAATTACAACTCTGATTCAGGTGACATCCTAAGACATTTTTTTGTAACTCCAAATTTGGAATTTGAAGTCTTAAGCTATATCTTTTATGAATATCCCTTGGCATACACATGTAGACAGTTATTTTATACATACTGTTAAGTTGTTAGTGCTGTCAAGTTGAGATTCATAACGACCCTGTATAAGGTTTCCGAGGAGCAGCTGGTGGGTTTTGGTTAGCAGTGCAGTGCTCATCCTGCAGTCACATACCAGGACTGTCGGTCTAATAAATTAGACTTTTTGGGTGGAAAAGCACTGGACTGTGAACCAAAGGTCAGCAATTTTAGCCTGTCAGCCACTCTGCATGAGAAAGATGAGACTTTCTGCTCCCACAAAAGATCTAAAGCCTCAGAAACCCTTCAACAGTCTCACTATGAGTCAGAACCAACTCCCTGGCACTTAACAACAACAATTGCTATAATTCATGTATCTCAGTCTATGGAAACTAAAACCAGATACTAAACATTGTTAGTGCTTACAGATGTATTAAAATTTTTTAAACTGGCACGGTCAAATAAACATTGGACTGCTAACTGCAAGGTTGACAGTTCAATTCCATCAGCTGCTCCTCAGAAACTCATACAGGATCGCTTTGAGTCAGAACTGACTTGCTGACACCTAACAACCACAACAGAAAAAGATGCTTACTATGAATGTACCTTAATTTCTCCCACATCTTTCCCTACAGATATGCATACTGATCTTTTTTTTAAGTTTTTATTGTGAATTGAGTGATAGTTTACATAGGAGAACATCAGCTTTACATTCATCCTGTTGTATTTCATTTCATTGCAATGATTACAGTCCCCTCAATGCATCATCATTCAGTAGCATTTGCTTCCATTCCCTCTGGGTTTTTGTTTGTTTGTTTGTTTTTTATGTATAACGAAGCACTCAGGGATATGTAACCATTCACACAGCCAAAGGGTATATCCTGCAAGCCTGCCCACTGGCTGCCAGCACACAGCCCCTCTCCCTCCTTGAGTCCAGAGTCCCCACCCGCTCCGTCTTTCCACGTCATTGTCTCTGCCTCCATTTCTGGCATTGTTGCTTTTATGGGTAGGGTCCCACACTCTGCTCTTCTCCCTTGATGGTCCCAGGGTCCTCCGCTCCTGGACTGCAAGATCAACCACTCCCCTTCTTTTGTTACAAAACGTCTACCTTTACATTTGCAACATTCACAATCAGCCCTGATAGCAGTTATTCATTATTGAACAAGAGTCTCATATCCATCTCCTTTCACAAGTCCCACATAGACAGATTGGAAACACTCAGTGGAGATTCTGTCTTCCCCCACAACCTCTTGAAAGCTCGTAAGCCAGTCATTTCATGCCTTTGTAGCCTCCCCCACCATTTTGGGTAGCCAATGTCTTAAGTTGCCCATCCCTGTTGACCCTGTATACCAAGGGAATAGGAAATGATCCTTGCTGTAAAAATTTGTTCCCTCTTTTAAGCTACTAAATCTATAAATATAGGTCAAGTTCATCAAATTGTAGTGGATTACACATTTTTTCCTCGTCTTTCTTACACTGGTCTTTTTTATGATGTATTTTGTTTTAGTGTGCAGACATTATATTTATAAAAATGTAAATCCCTTATTGATAGAATTAAAAACTCAAATTAAGTATTGTATATTTCTTATTTCCCACTATCTTTATAGTGAATGAGGGGAAGGAAGGGAACATTTGTTTGTTTTTCAATGAACAAGGAAATATTTATTGCAAATAATTTGTTACACCTCAGTTTAACTATTCTGGCATCTCTGTTGAAACATAAAAATAGCTTTACATAAGGAAAGTTTGTTCTAATGGCATGTTAATATTATAGTAATATTTTGGTTATTTACCTTTATAGAAAAAACAGCTGGAGAATAGAATCTAAATAAACTAACCATAGAAATAGAGGCCTACAGAATTGTAACATTTGTGTAACACTAGTATGCAAAAATTACATAGTAGTGAATTTTTAATGCTTTACCTCTCTGTCCCACCACAGTTGTAAAAATAACAGTATAGAAACCAGCAGTTGCTTTGGGGTCATGAGGTTCCTATTCTGTGTCCCAGAGTTGTAAGTGGGAGGTGAAAGGATATTATGACTAGTGATCACACATTACATATATATATATACACTTCAACTCTAGAAAAGTATTACATAAAAAATTTTTCATTTTCTGAAAAGAAAATAACCATTCTAGGGTCTGATTTCGTCATGGTTGATACTACTTCTTTCTTTTCTAAGAAGTAAGATTGTCTCCTAACATAAAGTCTTCTATAGAAAGATAAACTAATGAAAACAAAACATTCGCAAACTACACACAAAAAACCCCATTTCACAGTGTTCTTTATTCCCACTAATATGACCACTGTTTGTCAAAGAACAGATGAGGAGTCTTGGGTTCAGGTAAGTGACTTACCTGCAGGGGCTGGCTGCAATATGGTAGGTAGGTAGATGTCTTAGGCTACAGAGTGCATGCCCTTTCTTCACTGCTGTGCTATTTTGTCTGTTGTCTATCACATATTTATTTAATCAAGTATTGTGTTTCCCTGTATGTTAGTTTGAAGTTCTGGTGTGGTGCTGTAGGGTAAGCACTGGGTTGCTAACTGCAAGGTTTGCAGTTCAAATTTACCAGCCACTCCTTGAGAAGTCTGTATAGGGTTGCTATGAGTCAGAACTGATCAGACAGCACTTCACAAAAACTGCAACATTTTAGTGTACACAAACAATATATATTTAATTTAAAAATAGGTCTGAACTTCAGATCTTTGTAATCTTAGAATTGGCTAAGTAAAATTGTAATATTTTAATACAATTAAATTACACTTAAAAAAATTTAAGCTATATATAAAAGAATCTTTCTTTCTGTTATAAATTAGAAAGATAATCTACTTTGTTATGACATGTATGAAGGATACTCTAAAATCTTACTAGAGGCATCTGAACCCCACTGTAGAATATTATCTCATACTTAATGTTTTTCTTTACTGTTCTTACTACATAGTCAATTCAGGAAAAGTGGGCTTTATACAAATCAAATATAGCAAAATTGTAATTGTATCATCATGAACTAATTAATTATGTGTCTTTCAGGTAATAAGATTGATAAAAATCTCACCTGAGAAACCTATAACATTGGCTGTTGGTGATGGTGCTAATGATGTAAGCATGATACAAGAAGCACATGTCGGCATAGGTGATTAATTTTTTTCCCCTGAATTTATAAAGTTGATATAAATATTATTAGGTAGTTTCCAAATTACCTTTTGTATATAAAAGTGCAGTATCAAATATGTCAATAAAAGCTAAATGCAATATTATACTGTATCACCATCTGTTCCCATCAGAAGACTAGTATAATTAAGCCCATTGTATAGAATATTTTATATCCAAATTTTAAAGAAAAGAAATACCACTTTAATGAATTTCAGCTTTGCCAATTCTTCTTCATAATAAAAGTAACTTTTTATGTGCCATTTGATACTTCCTAAAGTTATGGCACTGTGGCTTAAAACACTGCACTGCAAGGTCAGTTTGAACCACAAAGCTGGTGGCTCAGACTCACCGGTAGCTCCTTGGAAACCCTATACTAGGTTGCTGTGAGTTAGAACTGACTCAATGGCACTTAGCAGCAAAAACAACCCCAAAGTAGTTTTACACGTTATTTTATACAATGTTAATTGATATCCTTTGCATTCTTATGCATAACAATACCAGGAGCTTTAGAAAGTCCAAGGAAAAATCCATTACCTTGTAGTTTAATTTTTCCACAAAGTTGTTGAAGCCTTGTATTTTATGTGTGTGCCTATTGACCTAATAATTATGCTTCCAAGAATGCTAAGAAATTAATTTAACATGATGATGTAGATCTGTATTGTAAACGATATCCATAATGTATTTCGTGGCAAAAGCAAGTTACATAGTAAGTAATAATAGATTTTAATTCATGTCTGTATATATATTACATACACATATAAAGTAGGTAGAAAGAAAAAGTCTAAAAGATCAAAAGCAGTGGGGATTTTTCTAGGTGTTAGGATTATAGGTAACTTTATGTTTTTTGGTATATTTTGATCCTTTGATGACCAAAATTTATATTTTTTACTTTGAAAAATAATTTTTGGGAACTGCTATTGGTATGAAAAATTAAGCTTGGCAATAACTCTTGAAACTCGAAGATTTCTTATAATCTTTAAAAAAGTACTCATTTTTAAGGTAAAATTATATGGTGACTTCAAATAATAGTGTACTTTTCTTTAAAAAAAAATATACTGTATACTTTTAAAAAGCACACTGACTTATTCATGAACATTTTAAAACCGTTAAACTGCTCATTTTTTGCAAGGTTCAGATTATTCAATATGAATCTTTTCTGTGTTCATTGGCAATAATTATGTTAAAACTCTTTTATAGCTCTCTAAAAATCTATCAGGAGTCTCTATCACACATAAATGTGTGTTTATTCATGTAATATGTTGATGTACCTGCTAGTTTCAGAACTTTTTTGTAACTTCTTGTGAATTTGGTGAAGATTTATAGGACAGATCATCAATTGTTGAATTTTACATTTAACTATATATATTTTGTTTCATCTCATTACTTGTAATTTTCTGAATGTAAAGTCATTTATACCATTTTATCCATGTTTCAGTATCAATTTTATTTTAATTATACTCTTTATTCTAATTCTTTGAAAATTAGTGTGAACCTCTATTATGTGTTATATAAGGAGCCTGGTAACACAGTGGTTAAGCAATCAGCTGCTAATTAAAAGGTTTAAAGGTTGGTGGTTCAAACTCACCTACTGTTCTGCAGAATAAAGTCATGGCATCTTTGTAAAGATTACTGCCTTGGAAACCCTATTGGACCTTTTTGCCCAGTCCTTTGGAGTCCTGCTGTGACACTGTAGTATAAGAATTGGACTGCTAACCACTTGGTCAGCAATTCAAACCCACCAGCCACTCCTCAGAAACCTTACACAGAGTTACTATGAGTCAGAATCTATTCAGTGACACTGACAGCAACAACAGCCAGTTCTGTACGGTTGCTCTAAGTCAAAATCAACTCCACAGCAGTGGAGTAGGTTATATATGGTATAGAAGCTTTGGTGTGGTACAGTGTTTTTAAGAGCTAGGTTACTAAACCAAAAGATTATTAGTCTGAACCCAGCAGCCTCTCCACTGGGGAAAGATTGATAGACAGCATCTGTAAAGATTTATAGCCTTGGGAGCTCTGTGGGACAGGTCTACTTTGTCCTATAGGGTCACTATGAGTTGGAATTAAATCAACAACAATGGTTTTGGTTTCTTGGGTTTTTACTTGGTTTGTTGGTATATGCTATATATATTAGGATTTAGTGTTAAGTCCAGGTTCAGCTGCTATGATATTGGCAGATATATCATGAAAATTATACCATAATTACCAGTAAACTTGCTTTGTTCCTTTTATTATAGGAATCATGGGTAAAGAAGGAAGACAAGCTGCAAGAAACAGTGACTATGCAATAGCTAGATTTAAATTCCTCTCCAAATTGCTTTTTGTTCATGGTCATTTTTACTATATTAGAATAGCAACCCTTGTACAGTATTTTTTTTATAAGGTGAGTTTCATGATGATATTTTAGAAACAATTACTATAAGGATAACTTGATATTATAATGTAAGGAATATTATCATATATTCTTTAAAGATTTCTATAAGTAAAAAAATTACAGTTTAGGGAATATGCTTTAATACAAAGTAGATCAGTGGTTGTTTGGTGATGATGGGGGAGGTGATAGAATTGACAGGAAAGAAACACCAAGAAACATTCTGGGGTGATAGAAAATTTATACATTGGTTACATGGGTACATTTATCAAGGTCATCAAAATATGCCCTAAAAATTGATAATTTTTTTCTATGCAGATTAGAATTAAGTGAAGTTGAGTGCTTTTAAAGTCATTTTGTCTTGAACCAGGAATAAATGTTCATTTCATTTAACTCAAATATAATGGTTTCAAGCAGAGATCACTGTGTCTGTGTGAAATGGATGGTCCTTTGATAGTCTAGTGAAACCTCTGACCTCCTTAGTTTAGAGTTTTTATATACACCAAATAAAACACATAGGATTACAAGGAGACTAATTATGTTGAAATTCTGCTCTCTCTCTGGGCCTCGGGGGGAGCATAGGGGTTGTTGGAACTCATGTTAAAAACCGCTGGCTACTGAGACATTTAATGGACCAGAATATCCTCCTATATTGCACCCATTTCCACAGTTAAGTAGGATAACTACAAGCCAATGAAAGAGCACAAATGGATCGCATATTGTTCATAGATAAAGGTGGCAGTTTTCTTCTAGTTTATTCTACCTTTTACTTGCAACATGAGTATATTGAAATAGGAAGTTGTTTTGATAATTCCATGTATTGTGTGTTTAAAAGCTTTTTGCATTTTAAAACTATTACAGCCTTATGTTATTACTTATACTATATGTGAAAAATACTGAATAATAGTTGGGAAACTTTGAATTCAAGATTATGTATTGCTTGGAAATGGTAGAGGCCAAGAATTTTTTTAAATACTGCTTTACCAAAAAAGAAGCATAAAATCAGTATAGTGAAGGTATTTTTAGAAATATCTCTTGTAGACCTAAATATTTTAACTATTTCTCATTTAATTTTGTTTTTCAGAATGTGTGCTTTATCACACCTCAATTTTTATATCAGTTCTACTGTTTATTTTCTCAACAGGTAAGTAAAGAGAAGTTTGTGATTTGTCCTTTCAGAATGAAATATGTGTGTCCAATTTTAATACACATTTAGAAGGCCTTTGTCCATATTTCTTAGTGCTGTAGGTAACCAGACAAAAAAATTTAAAGTTTAATCAGTATAGTATTCATATTATTTATTTATTTTGGATTTTGGTTTGAGATAAGTGTTGATACTACAATAGATTTTTCTCTTCTACACCTTTTTTTTTAAGTGTTTCATAAACCTTATCTCCTGTGTTCTTTCTTTTTTTTTTTTGAGGTTTTTATTGTGCATTGAGTGAAAGTTTAGTTTACAGGGCAGATCATCTGTTTTACAGTCAACAAATCATACACCTTGTTTCGTTACAATGATTATAATCCCCTCCATGTACCATCAGTTAACAGTATTTCTCTCTATTCACTTTAGCTTTTTTTTTTTCTCTAAGAAAAAAACAAAACACTCAGGCATATATAATAATAATTTACACCTCTGAATAGCAGATTCTGCAACTCAGCCTCCAGGCCACTAGCTCTTAGTCCCTCTCTTCCCAT